TAGATGTCCTACAGCCATCTACAAACTGTGTACAATGCTTTATGGTGTGCAAATTGACATTTGTTGTTGCAAGACAAACGATGATAACCTCAGCTTGGGCTTTAGCACATAAGCAACAGCAGGAGCTTTCCAAACTGTTTGGATTTAAAAATGAATTAACATTGTGTGTGGGTAGAATAAATAAATAAATGAATGGGGATACTAATCACGTTGCTCAAGTACTGCAGGCAACAAATCTTGTGAACTTAGATAGGCTTTTTTTATTGTTTTCCCATCCTAACTATTTCCAGATGGTGGTAGTTTCAGGGTAAAGATATTTTTAAAAGATACATGGTTAAACACATGAAGTGACAGACCGTATCCTCCTCGGCAAAGGAGTTCCTTTGTTTATGTAAGAGAGTAAATTAAGAAGGTGAAATGAAATAATAGGGCAGAATATAACCACCTGTATCAAATTGTCCTGCTATCTTCCCCTTTCAAGAAAGCCTGCATAGAAACTATAGGGAGAAAACAAAAAGGCCTAAGCAGGAGAGAGCGAGCTTTTGCAAACCAGCATTTTAAGTTATGAACTATGAACTGGAGGGGGAGAGAGGGATGGCTTCTATGGAAAACTTTCAAGGGGTCCCTGACGGATGACCAAAAAATGCAGTTTTATATATGTTACAGTACATGTGCACAAAACTTCTAGCAATGCACACACTTCTCTCAAGTGTCACTGTTCCAGAAAGATTTTGAGACAGCTCTCCTGAATCTTAAAATATCCCATTTTTTTATAGTTTTGGATCACCATGTCAAAAAAAACTCAAAAGGCAGTCAAGCCCAGAGTTCTGCCTATAGATCTGTCCTTAGTTTCTTTAGCTGTTCTAAGATGTTTTGTAACGGTGTATCTACTCCCATTTTCCCCCGATGTTTTTAGGTTGCTTCGTAGGAGTACAAGTTTCTTAGCTACTACTTGTTTCTCTACACTCCACAACGTGCATGGGCAGTTAGATCCTATAATAAATAACAGTCTGACCCTAGTTTAGAGGAACATGAATATAATTTTAATGAAGGTAGCTAATGCCCTTAAGGCTTTCCCCAGGAAAGTCATATCACTCCCTGCCTCTTGTCTTTCATGTGATGCCTCTCGTGTGACTCTAATGTTCTTGTGGCACACAACTGTAGCAGTGCAGTCCACGTGTGTTTTAAAGAACACACAGCAAGTCTTGATGCCAGAGTTTGAAAAGCAGCACTGTCCTCTCCCCTGCAGTGGCAGACCTTCAGGAGGGAGGGAGTGTGCCCAGCTGGGTGCACATGGAGCTTCCAGGGCAGGCAGGCAGAGGCCAAGGAGGGGCTGCTCAGGCCACTCAACACTTACATCATGCCCATCGGGGACTGTAAAGGGCCTTTATGAGGCTGCTTATGATTTGTTGCAGGGTGGGCTTGGCTGGTGGTGTTTATTTTTGCAAATATTTCAAGATCCTAGCTTCACTTTCTGTGTATAATAGCATGGTCTGGATCTTAATCAGACCTTCAGCCCAAGCCTGTTTTCTGTGAGAAAGGCTATTGATTGAGTGGTCCTTGATGCAAAACGAACCAGGTTCATCTGCTGTTTTGACCAAGACATCCCTGGTAGACTCAGAGTTTATTTCTTGTTCTCAAGAACAGGGCCAAGACTTTACAGCCTGCCAGATGGATTTGGAGGGAAATCTTTAGGTCAGCTAACCAGTGGGTGAGGAGAGGGGATGGAATGAGCCAGGGGGTTAAGCATGCATATCAGTGCTTCCACCCAAAGCAGCTGCAGCCATGTATTCTTCACAGGCCTGCCTGGGACTGCCTGGAAAGCCTGAGCCTCTGTGTGACCTCACTAAGGCAACTATTACACCCATTAGCTCACAAAGAGAGCTTATGAGAAAGAAAACATGCACACACATGCTC